TTTTGGTTGCATATTTTTTGCATCGTACCATTGTACGTTAAATTTTGTACATGTCAAAGATATTGAACAGTGCGTGAATTTGGACAGATTGGGATAATTATAGACAAAGTCAATCACGATCGATAAGAGAAAGGTTGATCTATGGCTAAGGTAACGGTGTATATTATCTCAAATAGACTAGCCATTGTTTGTACATAACACCAGCATCTTGTATTGATTACATGGGTTTATGTATCTTCTTAATGGCTCCTTTCATTGAGTATGTATGTACATTGATCTACATGCAATCTGGATATTGGTTTACCTTGCACTTTGTTTCATAAATTTTGAAAAACCTGCCACAGCAGAGACACTTCTCGCCACGGATATCCATTGTTTGGAAAAAAGTCATAACATGTCATAACGAATATCAAGAAGTATCCCAGACCTCAAATCATCTTCTTCGTTAAATTCTGGAATTTGTAGGATCTTGGCCAACAGTTTCTTTCTTCCTTTTGCGTCGATAACACAAAAGACATTTTGAAAATCTCTACGTCGTTCCCCAGGACCCGGTAGCCATGTCTACACCTCACAAGTGGGCATTCGTCGCAGGCAAACCACAGGAAGCCCATACAATTAGTTTGTGTAGCCGATTGTTGCTTTATAGTGAATGTACCAGATTTACCGTTTGCCTCACCTTATAGTGCCTTATAGTGATATATTGCTGACTGTTTATATAAATCAATGATAAACAAACGTTGAATTACTTTACCCGTGGTGTAGAGTCGTCCTTTTACCTCAAAAATGTTATTTTGGAAAGTACCCACAGGCCGCTCAACAAATCCATCCTTTTTTTCCCTTCTAGTCCTCCTACAGTCTTTCTTTTTTTATAAGAGGAGTGCACTTCGGGTTTATTAGAAACCGTAACACCTTTGAAAAAATCATCCAATACCGCAAACTAGACTAGATCATGGAGGGTCGTGGGTTCCAATCCCATCTGGAAACTCGATTTTTAAATACCGCAAAACCGCAAAAAAAAAAAACAAAAAAACAAAAAAACTCGATTAAAACCGAAAACCGAATGCAAAACCGTCAAAACCGATAAATTTGGACATCCCAGTTATCGGGTAGTCCCTCGTATACCGGGTTCTCAGATATCTAATAACCAACATGTAGATGTAGCAAAAGCGCAAAGTTTATCAAAAGCCCAATAGTCCGATACAGTGGTGAAAAGTGGACGGTTCGTGGCTAATTTCGTCTCCCTCGCACCCTTTTTTTTTGGATGTCACGCAACGCTCCCCAAAAAGAAAGTTCTTTTAAGGGAGCGTTGCGTGACATCCAAACAAAACGGCTGCGAGGGAGACTGCGGCTATTTGGGATCGGTGGAGGCGCATAAGTGCCTCTTAGAACCTAGTTGTATCGAGAGCGGCCAGTCCAATGAATAACCATCGGATGAGTGATAGCAAAATATATCGCGTTATCCACCGAATAGAGATTTATCCAGTGGATAGCGTCATCTCTTAGATCTACTTTTAATGTTAATTTTTTTTAGACTTGTACTAGATACTAGTT